TTTGCCACCAGGAAGATATTGCTTTCTCATCACTCTTAGAATTCAAAGCTCTGTAGTGCACAAGTTTGAGCAGGTGATGATGACTAACCCAAATAATTTTCTGCATACTTTTACAGACTTGTTGGTTTTTTTAAATGAACACTGCATAACCCTCTTACCAGTGTGTGTGTGTGTGTATGTATGTATGTATGTATGTATGTATGTATGTATGTATGTATGTTTAAGTGATTGTATGTGTGTGATTGTGGAGGGAAGTTAGACATATTACTCCATGGTTCCTTTAAAACAAATCAACAGTACCGTCTCTATTTTCTATTTTTTTTTTCTCATGAGAAAACTTAGGATGAAGTTTCACAAGTATCTCAGATTTTTGTTTTTGTTTTGTTTTTTTCTTATGCGGTGTGCCCAAGGTATGCCAGGGACTTTGTTTTTCATCCTTCCTCCCCAGGGTACCCAGGCAGCTAGCAGTGAGAGCCTGGCCCATATTAAACCTCATCACCTAGTTTCTGAATAAATGAATACATGTGGATTATGTAAAATCTTAGGAAATTGCTGTTTGAAACGAGGTGTTGGACTGTTGTTTGAAGGTTAATTAGAACAATCTTTGATACAACTCCTCTTTTCTTCAAAATCTCTCTTCTCAAAGACACTGTACTCAAACTAATCTCTCTCTCATTTTCATACTTATGTGGTTTTTAAAAAGTTTTTTTTCTTTTTGACCAATTTGAGATAGTTTTCTGTACCTTGTCAAAGAGTTCTTCTCTAACAGTACTTGTTTGTAATTGACTCACTGGAAACTCTTTAGTAGCTTTTAGCCCATATCAGATGAACACTGGATTTTGTATCATTTTTTTTTGTTGTTGTATATCTTTTCATCTCTGGCCTTTGAAAGTGTGGCTTTCATGAATTGACCCTGTTCACACTCTTGTTTTCACTTTCCCGTGTCTCATATCTCCCAGCCACCACTCAGATACTGCTCAGAAGCTCCCGGTTGCATCATTAGGTATATGAGTTAAATGTTGGCCTTGTATCCCGTTTCTGTCACTTTTAGCTATGAACGACAAGCTACTGGTGGTGCTCACCCTGTAATTGTAGCTGGAGGCAGAGGCAGGAGGATAGCTACTGATTCCAGGCCAGCCCCCATATATATTTTGACAGTTTGGGTATCTTCCTGCTTGCAACCTGTAAAGTAGGTTTGCTAGCTAGGAAATTTAACAGCAAAAATGAGGTGTGCATTCCTTCATTTGTGGCACATGCCTGTAATCTCAGCACTCGGACAGGAGGATTGCCACTAATTTGAGGCTAGCCTAGATTACAAAAGGAGACACTGTCTTTTTTTTGTTTGTTTTTTCAAGACAGGGTTTCTCTGTATAGCTTTGGAGGCTATCCTGGCACTCGATCTGGAGACCAGGCTGGCCTCAAACTCACAGAGATCCGCCTGTCTCTGCCTTCTGAGTGCTGGGATTAAACGCATGCACCACCAACGCCCAGCTAAGGAGACACTGTCTTAAAAAAAAAAAAAAAAAAGTAGCATATTGTATTTATCTTCCCAATGAAGTGTGGTATAAAGTCCATTTGTCACTAGAATTTATGGCATTTCTGAATGAGCATTCATTTCCAGATATGTGTGAGGAGGTGCAAGTGAGCAGTTTTGCCAGTCACCTGTGTCGTAGGACACAGCCCCAGGGCTTTGTTGTAAAACGTTAGTTTCTAGCAGCCATTGTGAAACACAGGAAAATCTTCTCAACTCAGGTGCAATGATGTCCTTTCATCACATGGTGGTCGTCTAACTTCATACCAGTCATCAGAGATTAAAGCTGGGAATAAAGTAACCACACCCCAAAGCTCATAGGCCTCCTGGCCACTGCCAGCATGGAGAAGAATTGAAGGAAAAACCAACCAACAGAATCTCTCACCTTTGTCTGCCTCCCTCTCCCTTCTCCTTCAGGGCAGTGGAGATCTTTCCGTCACCAAAGGCAAGATGAACACTAGCGTCCCCCCTTCCCTCTGGACGGTTGTGATGGCTTCCTTTTCCTTTCCAATTTGTTAGTCTCATTCATGGCTAAGAACTTTAAAAACATGAATCTAATTCAGTGGACAATTTTTATGTCTGCTATCGTATCAAGTTTTGTTTTTGTTTTGTTTTTGTTTTTTTGTTTTGTTTTGTTTTTTGAGACAGGATTTCTCCATGTAGCCCTGGCTGTCCTGAAACTCATTGTGTAGATCAGGCTGGCCTTGAAATGAGAGATTCGCCTGCTTCTGCCTCCCAGATGCTAGGATTAAAGGTGTATGCACCAGCAAGTTCTGGTTCTTGAGCACATTGTCTTTTTCGGATCACAGTGTCCCTCAGATCTGTCTTCTGCTGCTTGTTTCATGGGAACCACAAGCCATGGGGAAAAGGCTTTATTTAATGTGACTAAGGCAGCTTCACCCCAGCAGAACTCTTCATTCCATCCTGGTTCCCACACTCTACACTTACCACCTTATGTGGTATTGGCCTCTTCTGCCTGTCTACACCACTTGACAAAATCAAAGCCGCAAAAATAAAAGGTGTCGTGTTGTCTCGTGTTCATCCACAGTGCTCTTGTATAACTCCTGAGTTATGACTTAGCTGCTAATAAGCACTTGGACTTAATTTGAAGACATAATGCCTCTTGTCAGGAAAGTCATATCTGATAGTGTAGATAAACAACTACTTGTAATGCTAAGTAGAATAAAGTGGTGCCCTGTAACATTATACATTTCCTAACAATTTCCTAACACTATAATCGTGTACATATGTCTGTTTCCTTAAAGTCCTCCTCCTGCACTGGCGTTTTGATGGAGTGTGTAGCTGCTCTTTGGATGCTTGATTGCTTGAAGGGAAGAAGTCTGACAGTTCAGAGAATCCTCTATTTTTCTTCTTCCTGCCCTTTCCCACACTTGCGTCCTTGAACAGTGAGTGTAGCAGCCCTGGCTCCCAGTTAGGAGAGAGGGGCTGGAGGGGTGAGAAGCATGGACAGGGACAGTAACAGATCAGGATCCCAGACAAAAGGCCGTTTCCAGCACAGGGAGGCATTTCCGAGTGTGTGTAACACAGCTTCTTACAATTGTGGAGAAGAATTCCTTATGAGATTATAGAATTTTAATTTTTGCATAAACCATCGGGTAGACTTAAAACATTGTTTATAGCTTATTTATTTTTGATGGAAATTTCCTTTCAAGAAAGTAGGTATATGTAAATTGAATTTCTTATTGACTTTGTTTTTGTATCTTAGAACTGTACCTAAACTTACAATTTCATGGCATGGTTCCTCACAGAATCTAAAACACTCTTTACTATCCACTAACTTAATGTCTTTAAGCTATCAGATTTTAATCTGTAAAAATTAAACTCAATTGTGAAGAATTAGGCATAGCTTGATAAAACCTCATTTGTGCCCATTTGTAGTCAGTGGGTTGAATTTGTTTCCTTGTGTTGGGAGGGAATAACTTATAAATCTATTTTTATTTTTCATCAAGACAGGTCTTACTGTGTAGCTCTCCTGTTGTATGCACACTGTGTAGGCCAGAGTGGTCTTGGGATCACGGAGATCTCCCTGCCTTCTAGATTTTATTATACATTTTAATCGACTACATGTTCATTGATTCTGGCTATAGTATTAGCTATTAAAAAACTTAAAGGATAATGTGATTTTAAAGTGCCTGTTGCCTTTTGGGCACTGAACAATCGATATTTATTGCCTGAACATTGCTTTTCATCCAAACATGGTTTTTTAAAATGCAAAAAATCTGAATTATTTTCTTAGAATACAGGAAAACTATCTTCCAAACTCATGATCCTTTATATGGAAGAAACATTAGTATTTTATTAATTTCTCCACAGTACTGCTGAATTTTAAATGATTTCTGTAAATCAGGTGTGGTGTGTGCCTACGGTCTCAGCATGTGGGAGGTGACAGCTGGAGGGTCAGGAAGAGTGGAGGTTACTGTCTGGAAACAAAGCCAGAAAAACTATCAGTATTTGTTGATAGGCAATCTACCAACAGCTGCTTTATTTTTATAAACTTATTTATAAAATGGCATGTGTACCATTACGTATGTATGACAGTAAGCAGACAACTTGTGGGAATCAGTTCTTTCCACCATGTGGGACACAGGAATTGAGCTCAAGTGGTCAAGCATGGTGGCAGTACTTCTACTCACTGAGCCATCTTGACAGCCCAAGGATAATTTATTTTAATCTATAATAATAATATCGGAAAGTATTATTAGATTTATATAAGTGAGTAGGAACACTTAAGTAGGCAGTTTTTGAAATTTATTTTCTTACAGAAGCACACACACACGCACTAAGTAATTATGTGTTAACTTTCTTTGCTAATAAACACTTGTTTTTGTTTTAATTTGAAGCAGAGGTAAGGAATATCCAGCCTTTTGACATTGCGATATGATGTTGTCTATGAATGCTTTAAAGGATTACAGTAACAGATACAGAGGCCATCCAAGGAAAGCAGTGGAGAAAGGCAGGCTAGGTGGAGGCTAAGGGGATGATGAGGTCTGGGCCAAAAGTCTTACCTAAACAAAAAATCCTTGCCATTGACTTTACAACCTTTGTTTATATTCATTCAGTGATACTATTTTATATAAAAACATTTTTGTCTTTATTGTGCTCATCTTCCAATGTATGTGTATGAGCCATATGACAATTTTTTTTTTCCCAAATGAGTCTGGCTGCGTTCTGGAATATTTCCCTCTTTACTTGATGATGCTCGGGCTGTGTCAGAGTGGGAGGTGGGATGCAGGGGATAGCCTGGCCTACTGGTCTTTGTTATCAGAATGTGAGCTAAGGGCGGGGGCGGGGTAGACTCAGTGATGGAGCACTGTCCTAGCATCTAGGAGGCTTAGAGTTTGAGCCCCAGAAGAGCCAAAAAGCCAAAGCATTAAAATGTGACTACCAGGGGTTCTGCATACAAAGTTAACATTCTATCTCTTTCTGCTCACTGTGCTTGCCTTTACAGCCTGAGGAAGAGCTTGATCCTGAAGAGAGGGACAACTTCCTCCAACAGCTTTATAAGTTTATGGAAGACAGAGGTATGTCATTTTTATGGCTTTGTTTGAGCATTGTTCCTGTTGTATTAGGAGTGCCTTATATACCAGTGAAAGCTTATGAATCAGTTATATCTGATGGTAAATATTTGGAATACAAACTATTTTAAGTAGAATATATAGAAAGTCAGTATTTGCATAATTAAATTTGATCTCCCTTGTATTTATGAAAAGATTAAAATAGTTCAGAAGTAGTGAGTAGTTCCTCATGTTACTCTGGGTAGTCATTTATTACAATGGCCATGCTGTACTCAGGCAAGTAAACATACCTGACCCTTGGTCTCCACAAGATGAGGATAATTGACATCAGTCTCTTTCTAAGTGGGTGGGATAGGATTTCCATAGGGGTAGAAGAAATAGAACCATCAGAAATCATCTTTTTCTACATTCCAATCCCATTTCCCCTCTCTCCTCTCCTTCCACTCCCCCCCATCCCATCCCACCTTCCATCTGCTCCCTAGAGAGGGTAAGGCCTCCCTTAGGATGTCAACTAAGTCTATCCCATCACTTCATTGAGGCAGGACCCATGTCTAGGCTGAGCAAGGTATCTCTCCATAGAGAATGGGCTCCACAAAGTCAGTTTATGTATTATAGTTAGATCTTGGTCCCACTGCCAGTGGCTTCATATATTGGCCAAGCTGTACCATTATCACCTGTATTCAGGGCTCCTAGCTCAGTCTGATGCTGGTTCCCCAGTTGACAATATGGAGTCAGACACTCTAACATTTTTAAGTCCTAGAAAATCCTCAGGTAATTTGGCCCGAGTCATTCTGTGGCTTTGGGAAGTAGTTTTGCAGAGAAGCTCTTGCAGCTTCATGTGGTTAAGCCCAAGGATGGAGCCATAGACTTCCTTCTTGATTTGCTCATGCTGCAGGGAACCAGCAATGCTAGCCTAACCACACGTAGCTGTCTCAGTGCTTAACTTAGTTTTAGCCTTTTCATTGGTGCAGAGGTAACTTGAATGATAATAGAAGGATGCAACATCTGAAATTCAGAGAGCCCACACTGTATAAGAAACACAGAGAAGGGTTTGTGTCTTAAGTGATTTAAGGACCTTTAAATGAACAACTCCAATTAATGGATTTTGATTAATTAGAAATCATTTACTTTCAAATTAGTGTTTTTCATTTGACTAAATGCTTTATTTTTCCCTCTGACACTAAAAAAGGTACTCCAATCAACAAACCACCTGTTTTGGGCTACAAAGACCTCAATCTCTTCAAGCTCTTTAGACTGGTCTATCATCAGGGGGGATGTGACAATGTAAGTGTAACATTGCTCTGGAAATATGTGGTTGTGTGATAAGGAGTTTGATTGTTTGATGTTAGATTGACATATACAATTCTTAAAGAACACAGAATGCTAGTGCAGTGATTATTTCCTTTGACAATTGTTAACAAAACCTTAATTTTCCAGATTGATAGTGGTGCTGTATGGAAGCAAATTTATATGGACCTTGGCATTCCAATTTTGAACTCAGCTGCTTCCTACAATGTAAAAACTGCTTATAGAAAGTAAGTATTCCAACTTAATTAAATAATAAATGGCAGCTGGTTGTCGTAGTGCAGACTTTTAATCCCAGCACTTGGGGGGCAGAGGCAGGGGGATCTGTGAGTTAAGATCAGTCTGATCTACAGAGTGAGTTCCAGAATAGCCAGGGCTACACAGAGAAACCCTGCCCTGAGAAACACAAATAAATTAAATAAATAAATAAATATTTAAAGGGGACAACCTCCTTTTAATGCATTAGCACTCCAAACAAGAAATATGAGTGCTCAAGTTTAGGCTGGGAGACACTGTGACTGAAAGCAGAATTTAGAGCCTACTTTCTCCATCTCCCATGTGATGCTGATTTCTTCTTTAAAGTCAGGGGTGCGAGGTACTCATCATCTCTATTTGCAGCTCATAGGCTATAGGTTGTATACATGTTTTAGAGCAGCAGTTCTCAATGTTCCTAATTCTGTGACCCTCAATACAGTTCCACCTATTGTGGTGATCCCCGCCCCACCATATAATTATTTTGTTGCTATTTTATAGCTGTAATTTTGCTACCCTTATGAATCATAATCTTAATATATGTGTTTCCCAATGGTCTTAGGTAACCTCTGTGAAAGGGTCGGTCAACCTCCAAAGGGGGTCACGACCTACAGGTTGAGAGCCATTGTTCTATAGCAGTGTTCTGGGGTGGCTCTGTTGAATTGTAGCCGTCTCACGTTCTCAGGACAATAGTTCATGTACCTTTGTTTAACTATATCAGAGGCATTCAGAGATTACTAACATACAAAGAATACTTTTTAAGTGGCTTGGTTTTTACTATTTACTTATATTCATGATAAATGCAAAGACTAAGATTCTTAAGATGAAACATTGTTTGTTTAGATATCTCTATGGTTTTGAGGAGTACTGCCGCTCTGCAAATATTCAGTTCAGGACTATTCACCACCATGAACCAAAAGTAAAAGTGGAAAAAAAAGACTTTGAAGAATCAATGGAAGAGGCTCTAAAAGAGGACCAGGAAATGCCTTTAATGGAGGTGAAGAGTGAGCCCGAGGAGAATACCGATTCAAACAGTGAAAGCGACAGAGAGGATGTAGAACTAAAGTCTCCAAGAGTGAGTTTTTAGTAGTTTTCTCTACTTCAAGCATTAGTTTAAAAGTTTTATTGTGGACATTTTGCATATATGTGCAAAAACTTGTGCAGTAATCCTAGTTTATGTTCCAATATTTAGTAAGGTTACAACAATGTTGTCTTTTTGTAGTTGCCTTTCCCGAAGTACAACACATATATTTCTTCCTCTGCTTGAAAAGCCCCTCCTCACCAGGCATGGTGACTCATGCCTACAGTCACAGCACTTGGGATCCAGAGGCCAGAAGCTTGTCATGTCTTCAACCTGGGCTGCACAATGTGGTCCAGGCCAGCCTGAGCCACAGCATGAAACCCTGTCCTAAACAACCAAACCAAATGGATAAAAACAGCACACATCCACAAAATCCACTGTCTTTGTGGGACAGTCTGCTCAAGTCCCTGTCATCTGACTCTGCCCATGCACTCTTTCTTCTTCCAGTTTCTTGATAAAATGTCACCTCTTCAAAACCTGCTCTGGTGGCTGTAGTTACAGTTGCTACCTATTTCCTTTCTCACTCCTCTTGTTTGGAGTGTCTGCGTTGATTTTACCTGTTCTTCTCCCTCTTTACCAGAGTTGTATCCCTTGAGGGCAAGGATGAGTGTTGGTTTTGCTCACTGATGAGATCCTAGGCTTCTAGAATAAAGAAGCACAGCACATAGGAAGTGCTCATTAAATACTTAAGTGAATTGCCTCTTGATAATTTCCTGTCCCACCAACTGAAAACCCATACTGTATGGCTTTATTTGTATGTACATTGATTTTATCTTCTCTCTCTCTGTGTCTCTTTCTCTGTCTCTCTCTCACGCACGCACGTATGCACTTACTGCCCCCTGTATTCCCCTCCACTGATTGCAGTTTTATGAAGGGTTACCATTTGCTATTCTGATCCATGTGCAGTGATAGCTACATAGCATGGTTTATCACTTTACGGGTTGCCACATGCTCAAAGAATTTTGGTTCTTTTTCAGTTTTGTGTTTATTTTGTGAGACAGGGTCTCTCTGTTATATATCTCTGTGTCCTGGACCATTTTGGCCTTAAACTCACAGATATTGGCTTACTTCTGCCTCCCGAGAGCTGGGATTCAAGGCATCGTGCACCATCATGCCTGGCTTTCAGTTCTTAATGTATCAAAAATGAAGTTACCTTTTCTTGTAGGTGTTCAGAAATCGTGGGGTTTTTTTTTATTTGTTTGGTTTGTTTGTTTGTTTTTGGGGGGGTAGGGGAGAGGGATTGTTTTTCTTTTTAAAAAGGTTTATTTATTTTTATTTACGTTTATTCGTGTTTGCCTGCATGTATATCTGTGTGCCACATGACTACCTGGAGCCCACAGATGCCAGGGAAGGGCACAACATCCTGTGTAACTGGAATTACAGATGGTTGTGAGCCGTGGCTGAGAACTGTGCCCAGGTTCTTTGTAAGAGCATCAAGTTGTTTTAACCACTTAGTCATGTCTCCAGCTCCCAGAAACCCTGCTTTTTTTTTTTTGTTTTGTTTTAGGTTTTTTCAACCACTTAGTCATGTCTCCAGCTCCCAGAAACCCTGCTTTTTTTTTTTTTGTTTTAGGTTTTTTTTAAGATAGGGTTTCTCTGTGTAGCCCTAGCTGTCTAGGAAATAGCTCTGTAGACCAGGCTAGCCTCAAATTCACAAAGATTCACCTGCCTCTGCCTTCCAAGTGCTGGGATTAAAGGTGTGCGTCTCCACTGCCCAAATGAAACTGTGTTTTTAGACTATTCTTTCATCTAATATGTGAAAATTTTTAGTGAATTTCATGAAATGTGTAAGTTTAAGTTTTTCATTTTAAAGTTGTTTATTTTATGTATTTCTTTTAGTTTTAGAGAGGAACTCATATACTCAGGCTAGACTCAACTCACTGTATAGCTGTGGATAACTTGGAACTTCTGACCCTCCAGCATCCATTTTTCAAATGTTGGGATTACAGGGGTGAACTATACCATGCCTATTCAGCTGTTAGGTTTTTGTTTTGATGGGGGGTGGGGCACGGGTATGTGCACATCTCTGCAAATGCAGAGGCCATGGATGCCTTGCTCTGCCCCTCTCTGCCTTAGTCCCTTGAAACTTGTTCTCTCATGACCTGGAAGTAGTCTATGGCCAGCCTACTGACACCACTGTCTTTTCCTCGGCCCTTCCCCCAACTCCCTAACACTGAGGTTATGTGTGACTTTTATCTTTTTGAGGTGGGTGCGAGGAATTTGAACTCAGATCCTCCTGCTTATGCAGCAAGCACTCTTAACATGCTGGGCCACCCCCAGCTCCTCATTTACTTACTTTCTTTTTCTTTTAAATGCCTCCCAATTCCAAGTAGAGGAGGGATGTGTCCTGCCATCATATTAGGTTGACCTGCAGGAAAACTCAGAAGGTCTTGAAGAGGTTCACCAGTTTCGCGGGCAGTTGGCATGCTGGAGTTTTGGTGGAGGCTGCTGGAGACAGGACAATTGCCTCCTGCGATACGTACTCAGTCAGTCAGTCAATTAGTTTGGTTGTTCTTATCTGTATGTATATGTTTCATTTGTGTGTAGATGCCCTCAAAAAGTCCAGAAAAAGGGGTTGGATCTCCTGGAGCTGGAGTTACAGGCAGATAAGAGTACTGGGAACCAAACTTGGGCCCTGTGGAAGAGCCGCCCATGCTCTTGAGCACTGAGCTATCTCTTCAGCCCAAAACCTCACTTTTTAGACATTGGTACCATTAGGTCCTTAAAGCGTAATAACACATAAATATACTGATATTTGATTGTTGTGATATTGATATATCAATATATATAAGAAAATATATTGATATTTGATTTTTATTTAATAACCAATAAGAACTTTCTAAGAGGTCCTAACCTATGAGGTGGATTTATGAAGATTATTACTAATAACTTAAACATTTTATTTAAAAACCTGTATTGCATGCGTGTTTCGTGTGCACATATGTGAAAGCCAGAGGACAATTTGTGGCAGTTACTTTCTCCTTCCACCATGTGAGTTCAGATAGGTCATGAACTCATGTCATCAGGCTTGGTGGCAAGTATGTGCCTTTACTTTGACCCATCTTGCCAGCCCAACATAGTAGGAAATTCTACCATTAGCATATAGATAATTCGCTTAATATTTTTAAGCCATAGTTAGCAGGTGTTTTGGAGTGGGATAGGTAGGGTTAGGGATGGTACCCTGGGCGGGGAAGCACGTGCTGAGCCCCAAAACTGCCAAACAAAATGGGATAAAATAATGTTGGGAGCAGAGATTTTATGGGGGTTGCTAGGTGCTGAAACCAGGGCTTTGCACTTAGAAAGGGGCTCCATTCCCCCTTAGGTGTACTCCCAGCCCTAGGAGAAGAGAGTTTCCTTATGAACACACATCCAGGATCCTGGTAGTGGTGGGCATAATTAAGAGATTTATATTGATTAATAGTTTACTTCCAAAAGGAATAGTATGTCTGAGTTCATTGTTGTTCAGATTCTGATCTCAAGCAGGAAGCAGCAGACTCCCTGCAGTGGAGGCTTCAGAGGAAGCTGTGTAAAGACATTTCTCGCTCTTTCTCCATCTGTAGTGTTAGCTCTCTAAAAGCTCTTATCCCCTCTATTAGGGGCGAAGGAAAATTGTTCGAGATGCAAATTCTATTAAAAAAGAAATAGAAGAAGAGAAAATAGAAGACAAATTCATCAAAGATGATACAGAAAATAAGGATGCCAATGATGACTATGAAACAGCAGAGAAAAAAGAAAATGAGCTGCTACTCGGGAGAAAAAGTACACCAAAGCACAAAGAGAAGAAACTTACAAAGCACGAGGATTCTGAGAAAGACTCAGATGAAGAGGAAGAGAAAAGCCAAGAGAGGTACATTGTCTTATGTCTGTTCTCCAGAGGCACCTGTCTGGGGTCCAGCAGCACTCTGTTCCTGCTTAGAGATTCAGGTGTGAGGGAATGTCTTCTTATTGGGACTTCCATTCCTCTTGTCTAATGAAGGTGAGACACATTGTGAAGATGATGTGTATCGCCTTTCGGAATTGGAGAATATACTGGTCGCACCATTTTAATAGCACTTGTGCCCTAAACAGTGGCCTCAAAGAAGGCTGCGCCACCCAGTCAAAAGAAAGGTCCTGCAGTTGACAGCAGGGAAGGGAGCTGGAGAAAAATGGAGGAAGTGGACAAGAGGAAACAGCGACAGCAAAAATTCCATTTTAAAAAAGGTACAATGTGGGAAAGCTAACAAGCACATGGGTGCACACTACTAGCAGATGTTTCTGTGTGTTAGCTTTATTTAAGACAGTTTTCTTTTTCAAGTTATTGTGTTAGACTAAGTGGCATGCACCCCTGATTCTAGTTTGGAAAATACATTCTTGCCCCACATCTCATCAATAAATTCCAGCTTTTTATGTCCATTCTATTTGCTGTTGAGTGAAAACTGTATTTTTTTTTCCATGTATTTGACTTGCATGGATTGAAGTGACTTAAAAATAGCCAAAAATTAGGCAGTTCAGCCAGATCAAAGTAATGTCTTACCTTGCCATGTAGTGGGCCATTTTGCACCTGTGATCAAATGGATTTACTAATTTTTAGATATTAATAAAAGGAAGTTTTAAAACAATAGCATAACACACTTACTTGGAAGCAGAAGCTTTTCTCCAATTGTTTTTTAGTTATTTTGTTACATAATGCTAAATTTTCTAGAAGTTTGTGATCTTAAGCCAAATTTGGGGAAAGTGACCTGTTGGGTCTGAATGGTAGCTGACACTATTTGCAAATCAACCATTGGGAGAATCAGTGTTTAGGGAAGCAGTGACTGGTGAATAGGAAAGGAACTTGATACTTGGTAAATAGACACGTGACCTGGTGCAGTTGTCTGTGAAGCACTTTAGTTTTAAAAAGTTCTGAGCAACACATCATTAGAATTTAAAAAGTAACAAGAAGTAATGGGGACCTGAGAGTAATGAGAACAGTATCAAATATTAAAACACTAAGCAAAGGTGAGCTACTTAAAAAGTAGGTTCTAATTATAATAACGAGTCTATATAAATAAATCTATGGCTAAAATACTTGATACATAAATGGTGCAAAATATTTTAGAACAAAGAATTCAATCTTCAATGTGAAGGTTAATATTCTGTTTTATTAAATAAGGTTGAGTATACAAACAACAAACGCACATATTCTCAGTCTGCATCAGGAATCATGGAGATTTCTATTTATGTTTTGGAATGATTTCTTCAGGCTATTTATGAGAAGTGTCCCTGGAGAGCAGTTATTTCCCATGCAAACAAGCTATCAAGGCTTCAGTCGTGTGCCTCGGGGCCACGGAAATGATGCCCCAAACATGAGACCTTAAGACCATTCCTGAAACATTTGAAATTCTTAGACCACCTCAGTTGTCATCTGAATGCTTGCAAGGTTAATTGACAATACACTATATGGTTACAGTTTTGAAATACTGTGGGACTTCTCATACGAATTCCCTTTCCATTTAATTATTGAAATTAAAGGAAAGCGCTGGGGGAGAAGTTAGAAGTGGAAATCAGCAGATCCCCATACAGCTTTGTTCTACCATCACTTTCTTGTAGTTTAACAAGTAGCCTCATATGTAAAACATAAAGCAGTTTAAGAAACAGGGTGATTAAGGGAGGCAGCCATTGTTCTTTATTCCAGGCACCAAACAGTCGGTCTCCCTGAGACCCACTCTGAAGTGACAAGACACTTGTGCGAAAGTAGATTTAATGCAATTAGTTGCAAGAAGTTACAAAATAGATTTAGGAGATTCTCACAAGTAAGGTGGCACTTAATTATGAACCCAAAAGGCCATGTCAGGACATACGGTTTTAATTTTTTTTTTTTTTTTTTGGTTTAAAATGATTATTGACTGCATCGTCATTAACTGTGATTACTGATTGGCCTTTGAGAAGTGTGGATTTACCTCTTTACAGTGCACCTTTACATAATAAATTCCTTAGCAAGTAGTCCATAAATCTTCTCCTTCTCCTCCTTCTTCTCCTCCTCCTCCACTGACATGTTACTAAGGTAAACTTAGCTTGTAAAGACTCTCCATGCTGGATTCTCTTGTCCCTCATTCTTAAGTGATTAGTAGCATTATCAATGTTGTAATTCACTGCAGGGAAGACACTGAAAGTAAATGTGACTCGGAAGGGGAGGAAGATGAGGACGACACAGAGCCCTGCCTGACAGGAACCAAAGTGAAAGTGAAGTATGGACGAGGAAAAACTCAGAAAATTTATGAAGCCAGCATTAAAGGCACCGAGATGGATGACGGGGAGGTTTTATACTTGGTGCATTATTATGGATGGAATGTCAGGTAAGCAATTCAACAGCATCTTTTGCGTGGTTAACAAAGAGCAGTGTTGTAGGAAACCCCTGTGTATGTTTACAAGGAACACCTTGATTCTAAATTTTTTGAGGACTTTGACATTTGCACTGTTTTGTAAACCATCAAGTGCTTCTCACCACAGACCAGCAGGATCTTCCATTGAAACTAAGTTTATTACCTTTTTTATAGGGAGGCAGAACACAACAGGGGAAGCCACGGGGCATCACTATCCTGGGGTGATGGCTGAGCCTATAAAAGTTCAGGCCCCACCTCAGGGATTAGGGCGAGTGCAGCATTCTGTGAAAACATGGAGCAGAGTCCCGGAGTGAGGCCCACACTCCTGGCTGTGCATCTTTGTTTCCCATATCAGAAGTCAAGGCAGTGTCAAGCACTGTAATAGTTTTAAGGTGGCTAAGTAATTAAAATCCGTACCGGGCAGGACTTAGATTTGAGCTTTTGTTAGGTGGTAGGTTTAAGAAAGTCTTTCTTCTGTGTGCACACAGTCAGGAAGCTGATGTAATTCTATGAATGGTTCTCTTAGTAAATCTTACCTAGAAAGAGAGAAGGCTAGATCAAAGTTAATCCTCTAATTGGTAAAGCAGCAGAAGTGTCTCATTAGCTGGGGAAAAGCACATTTTGTCATTTTTGTGGCTTGGACAGTGTTCCCTGTTGTCTGTGTTCAGACATGATTAGGGAGTTGTCTTATTTTGGTTTTGATCCTCCATGGGCTTGGAGCAGACTTGTCTGGTAACGATGTTCTGTGGATTGGTCACGTTCAGGGGAAGACAGCTCAGTTTGGCCAGCGAGAGCAACACTGAGGCCCAGCCGTTCTAAGTTCTGCTTTTCTCTTACGCCTTCAGAAAGTGTGTGTGTGTGTGTGTGTGTGTGTGTGTGTGTGTGTGTGTGTGTGTGTGTGTGTGTGTGTGTGTGTAGACATGGACTGCTCTGGGTTGTTGTGCAGCCATGTTGCCGAACACCTTTTCTACATACAAGGTGTGTGTGTGTTCTGTTCTGACTCTGTTCCCTCCTCTCCAGATTGGTGAATTTGGGGTTCTTACTTTATCAATAAGTTGTAGAATTACGACCAATGTTAACTAGCAAGTGAAGTGCATAAAAGGATGCCTGACACATAGTAAGCTGTGTTAGCTGTTAGCACGACTCTAAAGGGTCTTCATAAGTAAGCAGAGTCTTTGTATCCTGATAAATTCAGGAGCGTGTTTTATCCACGTTTCCACTAATATTCAAGTTTGTTTGCAGCCATCCGCTCTGCGTGCAGCCCTGTTGTGCTCGAATATCTCTTTCCTGTCACCCTTCTCATTTCTTTGAGGTTTCCCTTTATGGCTCTCACCAGTAGTCCTTTGTCATATGCTCTCATTCTGTCATTGGCCTCTTTGGTCACCCACTGATTACTCATATGACCTTTTGTTTTCCTCAAATCTTGCTAAAAGCTAGTACAGTTCTGGCTTTCAAAGAATCCTTATAGTTTCTAGATAATTTAGTCATATTTCTAAAATGGGAGCCTCTGCAAGTGTGAGAGGTGCCTGATGTGGCTGTGGGAGTACCTGCCTGACATACCGTAACTCAGCCTGGCCAAGGTAGGCCACCCTGAGTTCCTCCAGATAGGAGTAAAGCTAGTGCTTTGTTTGGTCTGATGTGTTCTTGGAAATTCATGAGCAAGATGCTTTCTTCTTTTTAGCTCTAGATTTGGTATATTATCTTTCTTACTCTATTTACTTGGACTGTATTCAATTATACAGTCTATTTTTTTCTATATCAGACATGAAAGCAAGGCCTTGTTCTGTCTATTCTCTACATATTTTATAATTACTGGTCCTCAGTAAATGTCCAAATTAAGAAATATTTATAGGCCAGGTGGTGGCGCACACCTTTAATCCCAGCACTCAGGAGGCAGAGCCAGGTGGATCTCTGTGAGTTCAACGCCAGTTGAACAGAGCCAGTTCTAGGACAGGCTCTAGAGCTACACAGAGAAACCTTGTCTTGAAAAACTAATAATAAAAAAGAGGAAATATTTATAAATAAATAAGCTATCTCTCTTCAAAAAGTTTTCAACATTGGGTAATCTTCCCAGAAATGTTTTTTCATTTGTAGCATCATACTACCAAATCACATAAAATCTGTACATACTTGAGCCATGTGCTTTGCATGTCTCCATGGAAACTAGTTTACAGTGTTACTGAATACTGTAAATAACTACATTTGTGTAATGCAAGAAGTGTTATTTAATTCTGGATAGTTTAATCTGTTTCTCTATCCCTAGTAATGGGAAAGATTATGTTGAGACAGGCTTTTGAAGAAAGGGCAAGGGAAATGAGTTTTCAGCTCACTGTAGAAAACAATGTAGATAAAGGAAATTAAATTGAATACAGATATCTCTAAATAATTTCAGTCTTAATAATGACATGTTTCATAATAGAGTTTTATTAGGAATAACAGATGCTAGATGTCTGGGAAGGACAAGAAAAGGGGATTTGATAAATGATTGGGACTGATTGCTTCCAAATTGACATCTTTATATTATCCATAGAATGAATTTTAGTACAAAATCTACTTATAAGTTCAAATTGTGAGAGTTTTGGAAAATAAAGCAGTTCAGATAGTTTAGTATTGAGAGTTTGCTTTCCCAGGTCTTTGAACCTCTTAATTCTGAGAAACTCCCTTTTCTTTTCTTTTCTTTTTTTTTATTTTTTAATTTTTTTTGGTGTTTTGAGACAGAGTTTCTCTGTGTAGCATCCCTAGCTGTCCTGGAACTCCCTTTGTACACCAGGCTGGCCTCCAACTCACAGATATCTGCCTGCCTCTGCCTCTCCGAGTGCTGGGATTACCAGCAAGTGCTAGGATTACCTTGTGAACCACCATTGCTTGGCTTGGGTTTTTTTTTTTTTTTGTCTGTTCTATTGTTAGTGGCTATATCACTAATGGCTGACTTAGTACCTAGGACAGCTGCCAGCATGCGGTACCAACAGGTGGTTCCTATGCTCTTTACACTTTTGCTAACACTAGAATCAGATTTTTGATCTCACTGTGAGAGCATGTGGGGGTGGTGGTGGTGGTGAATATATTTCAATAGGATATCAATTATGAAAGATAAACTTTTTTCTTTCAGATATGATGAATGGGTAAAGGCTGATAGGATAATCTGGCCCTTGGACAAAGGTGGACCAAAGAAAAAACAAAAGAAGAAAGTTAAGGTAGGTTCATACATTCATATCACTTATGATAGGTACAGTAATTATTCAAGTTGTGTCTTTTCTCTAAGATACTGTTTTAGAGTAGTTTTACATTCATAGCAAAAATGAGAAGGCAGAGAATTTCTGATGTGCCTTTTGCCCTATGTGGGTATGGTCTTCTGCAATGTCAACCCCCTACCTTCACCAGAGGGGCCCATTTGTTATCTTTGGTAAAGATCCGCAGTTTGCACTGGAGTGGTATGTACATCTGAGGTGTCAGAGGACTTTGGGTCTTTGTGCCTTCAGTAGTTTGGACAGATGTACAATGTTATCTGCATCATTAGAACTACACAGAGGACCCCATCACTCTGGACATGCACAGTTCTCCCTCTTTCCTCCACCTCCACCTCCACCATAGCAGACCTGTCTGCTGGCCCACAGCGTACTTGTCCACACCCTCCATCCACCGTTCCTGCTGAAGTCTGATGCCTGTCATTACCTCAGTAGGAAATGAAGAACCAGGGGGAGTGCTATATCCATATGAGTAGGTTAGGAAACTATCAGAGATTTCTCCATAAGCACACATTAGGAGTTGATATTTAAAGGAACTGAGTTAATAGTTTTTCTTGGGGAAACACAGTGCTCATTTGGAAAGGTCTTGTCCTTCTCATGCGTTTTGTTGTTGTTACCCAGAATAAAGAAGATAGTGAAAAGGACGAAAAGAGGGATGAAGAGAGGCAGAAGTCAAAACGGGGAAGACCTCCTTTAAAATCTACCTTTTCGTCAAACATGCCATACAGTTTATCTAAGACGTCAAACAGTGAAGGAAAATCAGGTACCAGAAATGCTCATGGCAGTGTGACAGGCAGCTCACCTCTGTCCAGGGAAACAGAAGGGGCTCAGTGTCAAGGATTGTTGACTTTTAAAACATTATATATGCATATGCATTACTTAACAATGGGGACTCAGTCTAAGAAGGGCCTGTCATTGTACAAATGTCATAGAGGGTGCTTACCAAACTAAGGGTCTGCAGTGTCCCTAGGTGACTGAGCTTGTAATAGAGCCACCATTATATGTAGCCATCATTGACCAAAATATTGCTATGTTGCCCATGCCTAATAAAGCAGCCGCTTTGTGAGAGTCATAGCTTGTCCTCAATTTTTAATCTAATGTGATTAAAACTACACATTTAATTGGCAGCTGATACTTATTTTGTTGTATATTTTAATTTAAACTGTATTGATATTAACGTGGATACCAGTCTGTCATAAGGACTTTAAACACAACTAGTTTAATCGTAGGGAACTTAAAACCATCCATGAATCCTAGTATGTGATAAGCTCTGCTTCAAACCTTGTGATGACCAATAGCTCCTGTCAGTTTGTCACCTGCAGCCTGTTAACAGAGCTGAGACTTGTTGAGAGCAGAAACTAATGAGTGTAGGAGTACTTTGTGTGAGCACAGGTGAGCATATTTTACTGTGCTTTAATATTTCCCTTCCCTCTTTTTTGTCCTTATTTGTTTTTCTGTGCAATTTAAGAGATTTTAATTGGTGATATTATAAAATTACCCTCCTTGGAGAGAAAAGCTCTACTAAAGGTCGGGTTTACCATTTGTTGCAGTATGCCAGCCATAAAAGGGTATCTTTCCTCTTTCCTGCCACCTGCTGGCTGGTTAGCATTATATACAAATGCAAGGTTTCTTGGAAATATAAGCTCCATTTCTCAGTAGGCATTTCCTGGTGCAGTGTAAGGCCAACACAGCCTCAGTGTCAATTAGGAGTTTCACAGCCAACATCAGTGTCCCTGAACTGCATAGCTGAAGAATATTTTCACAAGAAAATGGAATTCTGCATTCTACTTTTACTAAAACCACATAAAATTTATATACCATTCTTCATAATCACTCAGGAGTCTGGGGAGACGGCTCAGCAGTTAAGAGCACTTGCTGCTCTTGCAGAGGACTGGTGTTCAATTCTCAGCACTCACATAGCATTCATAAAGTCTGTAACTCCAGCTCCAGGGTATCTGACACTCTATTTTTGGCCTCCACAGGCACGAGGCACGAGCATAGTACATACATACATGCAAACACTCCTATTCATAAAGTAATAAAAATAAATCCTAAGCCAGGCGATGGTGGCACACACCTTTAATTCCAGCACTCGAGAGGCAGAGGCAAGTGTATCTCTGTGAGTTCGAGGCCAGCCTGGTCTATAGAGTGCGTGCCAGGATAGGCTCCAAAGCGACACAGAGAAACCCTGTCTCAAAAAACCAAAAAATAAATTAAATAAATAAATCCTAAAAAAGGAACCAACAAGTAGAAAACATAAAACTTTGCCTAGTGGCACACACCTTTAATCCCAGTACTTGGGAGGCAAAGACAGGTAGATCTGAGTTTGAGGATAGCCTGGTCTCTATATCGAGGCAGGCCAGGGCTACCCACTGAGAATCTCGTCTTTAAAAAAATGAACACATTCAGTGTTTGCCTTTTAAAAATTCTCTAAGGAGGGCATGTGTTGTAAGAGCATAAATTTTTATATTATGTATATATGCATATAATACGTATATTTTATATTATGTATATATGCTCTGAGAATGCTACCTTACTATTTGAAAAATTCTCTGACATAAAGTGAATAATTTGTCTTGCAAGCAGGTGGCTTGCTTGTATTTTCTTGTGTGTTAATAAGAACATTTGAAGTTTGGAGAATTCACATCGCTCATTTTAAACATCCCTTCTTAGGGGACAAAGTGGTAAACCTTTGTATTAAGTCAGGTCAAGTCACTTGACATACTAGCTTGTATTTTTTTTTGTTCTGTTTTGTTTGTTTAGTTTTTGAGACAGGCTTTCTCTGTGTAGCCTTGGCTGTCCTGGAACTCACGCTGTAGACCAGGCTGGCCTCAGGGATCTGCCCATCTCTGCCTCCAGAGTGCTGAGGTTAAAGGCCTGTGCCACTACACCCAGCTCTTCTGTTTTTTTCTAAGTGGTACCGTAGCCTAAATGTGTTGTTGCTGAAGACAGCTCTTCATACAGAACTGACATGGTAACATGCTGCTTATTATATTTTTACACATTTTGTTTTTATAGTTTGTGTGTAACACATGTATACATGTTTATGAAGGAAGGAGTGCACATGTGTTCAGAGTCCAATGGGCAATCTTGAGCAGTGTTCCTTAGGAAAGTTCTGTAAACCAGGCTGGCCTAGAACTCAGAGATCTGCCTGCCTCTGCGCCCTGAGCACTGGGATTAAATGTTCACACCACATGCCCTCTTTCATCACGTTTTAATTTTAGTCTTTCCCCTTACATTTTAGCCTTATTTTATATGAGAAATTCCTATAGAAAAATTCAGAAGTCTATAAAGAGTTTTGCTCATATTTAGTAGGATTCTAATTATTACATTAGCATTTAATATAACCATCTGTGCATTGTACTGTCTCCTTGCAGACTCTTGTTCATCTGATAGTGAAACAGAAGACCCTTTGGAGAAGAGCTTGATAAATGAAGAACTTTCTCCTGATATTAAGGAAGAGTTAGAAAAAAGTGAAAATGTAAATGATGATAAACTAGATGAAGAAAGCCCAAAGATTGCACATCTATTAAAAGAAAATGACAGGACTCAGATGCAGCCCTTAGAGACCCTGAAGGTAGAGGTCGAAGACAATGATCAAATAGTACATATTTTTGGAAACAAAGTAGAGCAAGTAGAAGAAATTAAGAAGCAGGTGGAAAAGTCCCCAAAAGGGAAGGGAAGGAGGAGTAAGACGAAAGACCTTTCTTCAGAGGTAATAAAGATGTCATCCCTCGGCCAGGACGAAGCAGGCAGTGATGCTCATGCAGACACTCAGAGCCTGGAGCTTTCCATACTAGAATGCAAAACCGTTTCTTCTCCTGAAGATGAAGGGGACCAATATGAGAGAGAAAAAAAGTTGAAACGGAAAATACTGGGACAGCCATCACCAGAGAAGAAAGTAAGACTTGAGAATGGGATGGAAGTGACAGCTGGTGTGTCCCAAGACAGGCCCAGCGATGGCGCTGGAGCCGAGGGCAGGAAAGGGTTACATTTCGAGCAGCACTTTGAAACAGAAAATGAAGGGATGCCATCATTGATAGCAGAGCCAAACCAGGGCATCCAAGAACCACCTAGTGAAAAACTGGACAGTCCAGCTGAAGAACCTGTACATACACCACTCAAAGAGGAGGAAGACGTGATGCCCCTGATTGGGCCTGAAACCTTGGTTTGCCATGAGGTAGACTTGGATGATCTGGACGAAAAGGAAAAGACCAGTATTGAGGATGTGGTAGTTGAAAACTCTGAGTCTAACTCTGTGGTTTCTGTTCCGACTGCCCTACCTCCCGTAGCACAGCATAACTTTTCAGTAGCTTCCCCTCTAACTCTCAGTCAAGACGAGTCCCGGAGTGTCAAGAGTGAGAGCGATATAACAATTGAAGTCGATAGCATTGCCGAAGAGTCACAGGAAGGCCTCTGCGAAAGGGAGTCAGCGAACGGGTTTGAAGCCAGTGTTGCCCCTGGTACCTGTGGTATAATTGTACAAGAGAGAGAGAGCAGAGAGAAGGGTAAGACATTCTAGGGGGTGATTGCTTTTGTGTTAAAACCAACAATTCAGGTTTTTGATATGACAGATGCTCACTGTTGTCTTTTTTAAAAAATAGAGAAATGATGTGGACAGGTACGTAAATGGACCTGTCTGCTTCCAGCTTTTGGTTTTGTTTTCATGGTTTTTCTTTTCCTTTATTTCAGGTCAAAAGAGGCCAAGCGATGGAAGTAGTGGGTTGATGGCAAAAAAGCAAAAGCGAACCCCAAAGCGAACGAGTGCTGGAACCAAGAGTGAAAAGAATGGGACAACAGGTCAGTGTTTACCAGTGCTGGTATTCACACAGCAGCAGAGGCGTGGCTTGTTCATTTGAGGAGTCCAAAAATGAGCAGGGTTTATTATGTTCTGAAAATAATTTTTCCATTTTTGGGGGGTATGTGTATGTGTGTGCTTGTGCGCATGCATGCATGCATACAAGTGCACAGACATGCCACTAAGCGTATGTGGACATCACAGGACAATTATGTGGAGTCAGTTCTTTCCTTCCATCTTTATGTGGGTTCCAGGGCTCAAACTCAGATCTTTAGGCTTGCATGGCAGGGATTCTTCCCCACTGCGTCATTCACCATCTGTCCATTTTAATCCGAAGATACCTATTAGTCTTATTTAGAACTAGGATAGCTAAAATTATTATTTCAGGAAAAGCAATTAAATATTAGAAAGATACTTTAGGGTCTTGAAGAAAAGAAAAATAACATTTGTTGTGGTGTTAAAAGTATGCAAAACTAGCCGGGCAATGGTGGCACACGCCTTTATCCCAGCACTCTGGAGGCAAAGGCAGGCGATCTCTGTGAGTTTCAGGCTAGCCTGGTCTACAGAGTGAGTTCCAGGATAGACTCCAAAGCTAAAAAAAAACCGTGTCTCAAAAAAAAAAAAAAAAAAAAAAAAACAAAAAAACAAAAAACAAAAAACAAACAAACAAAAAAGAAAAAAACAAGAAAGGAAAGAAAGTATGCAAAACTTATATTTCTACTGAGCCAGAAGTGCTGATTTATAAATAGTAAAAATATTTATTTTATTTTATGTATGTGAATATTTTGACTACATGTATGTTGATGTATTATACCCCTGCCTGGTACTCAAAGAACTCAGAAGAGGCAGATTCCCTGGATCTGGAGTTGCAGGTGGTTGTGAGGTACCATGTAGGTGCTTGAACCTGGGTCCTCAGCAAGAGCAATAAGTGCTTGTAACTACTGAGCCATCTCTTCATCCTGAAAAGTTAATTCTTATCAAATGAAATAAAATAATATATAGGTATGAATGGATTAGATTACATGAAAAGCAAACTCAGTATGAATAGTTAAATAGTCAATTAAATAAATAAATAAATCATAATAAATCAATTAAATATGATTGATTTTTGACAAGTTTGTTGCTAGATCATGCCCTCAGTAAAACAAACAGCTCATATCCTAACAAAAGGACTGTGGAGTTTACACAGTAGCAAACATCTCAAAGGACTTGAGACTGTTTCAGATTTTTAGTAGTCAGATGTGACTTACAGCTGCATGATTCTGACTTAAGGAAGAGAGTGATAGGAGGAAAGAGTGGATTAGAAATTACAAAGGGGGGCTGGAGAGATGCCTCAGCGGTTAAGAACACTAACTGCTCTTCCAGAAGTCCTGAGTTCAATTCCCAGCAACCACATGGTGGCTCACAACCATCCATTATAAGATCTGGTGCCCTTTTCTGGTGTGCAGATATACATGGAAGCAAAATGTTGTATACATAATAAATAAAATCTTTAAAAAAAAAAAAAAGAAATGACCAAGGGGATATGCATAATTTTACAGATTATAAATCCAGAAGATACCACCTTAGGGTAATCAAAGTAAACACTCAAGTCCACACAGGTGGACTTCTGAAAGTGGTAGGGCTCAGAGTCACGGCAGTGCCATGTGTGTATCTTCCTTTGACACTTTCCAAAGAATGATGTTATTCTGACATGTTGCTTCTGCCACCACTGAGGCCAAAAAGCCTATTTCCCCCTTTTTTCTGTTGTAATCCTTGATAGATATGTTTATCTGTGTGATTCCAGGAAGTGTTACTGCTTCTGCTGCATTTTGATATTTGAGGCTTTTCATCATTTATAATTGTAGTAAACCTATTACAGGACAAAGCAGTGACAGTGAAGATCTCCCTGCCATGGACAGTTCAAGCAAATGCACGCCAGTCAAACATCTGAGCCTGTCCAAGCCGCAGAAGCTGGCTCGCTCCCCTGCAAGGACCTCACCTCACATCAAAGATGGAGAGAAAGAGAAGCACAGAGAAAAGCACCCGAATTCATCCCCTAGGACATATAAGTGGAGCTTGCAACTCAGTAAGAATCTTTCAGATAGCTTGAATGGGTATTGTAAAGTGTAACATTTCTAAAATGTCCATTTGGAATAATGTTATAGCCATTCCAAATCAGTAATCATCACTGTATGTAAACTGCTTTTCTTTTGTTTGTTTCTTTTTTTTTTTAATTTGGATAATGCTAACTTGACAAAATCTTCAGTTAAGAAACAAAACATAATCCCAGCAGACATATGGGTGCTGGGAATTGAACCTGGGTCCTCTGGAAGAGTAGCCAGTGCTTTTAACCATTCAGCCTCTCTTTAGCCCCCAGAGTAATAGTTGTTTAATATAGAATATTGGGCTAAAAAAAACTCTTAATCATTGATTTAATTTAATCATAAATTCTGTAAAGAGCTTGTCTTAGGTCATACTACAGCTTTTATTGATTTGTAAGTTAAACTTTTTATGGAATTGCCTTCTTATTTTCTTATGGAATTACTGTTTTAAAATTGAGATTAACTTTATCTTTCCTTTTAGATGAATTAGATAATATGAACAGTACAGAGAAAATCTCTTTTCTCCAAGAAAAACTACAGGAAATCAGAAAATACTATATGTCTTTGAAGTCTGAAGTTGCAACCATTGACAGGAGGAGGAAAAGATTGAAAAAGAAAGATAGAGAAGGTAATGCGATTTGTTTCTCTGCTCATTTTCAGATATACTCAGATAATTTTATAAGTTTATCTCTCTCAGTTCATGTGTAGTAGACACTGCTTTTAGGTTTAGGGTTTTCTCCTGATGCAGGTAGTAGGCGTGTCTGCAGCTGAATTAACCAGAATGACACCCTTGAAAGGCCTATGAACTATGTTAAACAGTCTGTGATTTACTAAGTATGTTGGGCTTTCCAAGAGGGCATAGTCTGTTCAACAAATATTTATTGGCTGCCCCTATATTTGTTATTTATGAGGCTCAACAAAATGAATAGGCCTTAGTTATCTTTGCCATTACCTGTTTTGGAACCATAAATCATTCATAAACAACTACAGGGCAATCTAATGCAGCTCAGGAACACCAGTGAGCATGTGTCACATGCCAGGGGCTTGGGCAAGACAAATTAGACACAGGCTTTGATCTCTAGTATCTTAATGTCTGCTGGATAGTGTGTTCCCTGAGTGACATTGCCAGTCTGGCAGTTAGGTTACTTTAAATAACAGGGTAGTATCTGTGCCAGACCTTAAGAATGCAAGTTGCCAGCTAGTCAAACATTGGACATGGTGTTTAGCCAAGCTTTGCCAAAATAACAGTAAAGGGAATTAAGGTTTGTGCCCTAACTCACTAGTAATCAGATCAGAACAAAGGGAAGCAATCACTCACTAAGGTGACTATAGGGAGAAATAGCATCCAAGTTGATAATGCCAATTTCTGGAGAAAATAGGAGGGGGCATTTATGTGTTGTTTGTGGCAGAACAAATTGTGATAGTTCCCATATTAGTTATTAACATTTTGCTGTCACCAGAAGAATATAAGAAGGAAACAGGACAAAGTAGAGTCCCAAGGATGTGCCCTCAGTGATCTTTTTACTTCAACGGTTCTGGCTCCAATTTTTCACCCAAGGAGACATCTCTCACGTGATTACTCCATTGATTAGATTGAAGTGGTAACAATAGGATTGTTTCTGAAAACCCTTCATACACATATACTCAGAGGAATTCTTTACTAATCTCCCTGGCATTTCTTGATGCAATCAAGTTGATCATTTAGACTAACTGTCAAAAATCTCCTTGTCAATGTAGACCCAACCGCATCCCTTTAACCACAGCATTCTACCCTGGTTCCCAAGAGGCTTATGTTCATTTCTTAGTTCAAGGTGCATTCAGTTCATCTCCATTGAGTTCCATAGACCCAACAACTCCAGTATTATTCAGAAGTCTAAGACTGTAGTATCTACCAAAACTCAAAAACATCTCTGAGCCCTTGTAAAAATTAAAAATAAAAAAAAAAAAAACAATTTCTATACTTCCAACATTCCTTTTCCAAAAGAGAGAAGAGGGGACAGAGAGGAATGATGAAGCCAAGCAAGACACACTCATTAGAGCAAACATGATTCAGTTGTTCCATGTCTGGCACCAAGGGGGCACATGGTATCCTGTTGTGCTCTCCAAGGGGTTTGGGCAGCTCCACGTCTATGGACTTGCTGTCCACTTGGCCTCTCTCTTGGGCTGGAGGGTGATACCTGCAGCAACCAAGAGGAACACAGCATATTGTGGTATTTCTAGGGATAGTCATCAGACCCTTAAGCCCATTGCCAAAGAGAACAGCTGTTCTTTACTGTTTTGAAGTATAGGACTTGGAAAATAACCTAAGTGTTCATAAATAAGGGATGCATGAATAAATGCTTCCTTATTGCTTTTAAAAAAAAAAGGCCTATATCCACAAGAAAAGAAAATTAAACAGTTAGCACACTAGACAAGAAATATCAGCAAATCAGGTATGGTGGTGTATACCTATAATCCTAGCACTCTAGATGGGACAGGAGAATAGTGAGTTTGAGGCCAGCCTGGGCTGCATAGTAAGAAAATTAAACAAAACCACCAAACAAATCATGCCAATGATTTGTCTTTTTTTGTTTGTTTTGTTTTTCAAGACAGGGTTTCTTTGTATAACTTTGGAGCCTGTCCTGGCACGCCCTCTGTAGACCAGGCTAGATGGTGTTTTATCTTTGTTTTTCAAGACAGGGTTTCTTTGTATAACTTTGGAGCCTGTCCTGGCACTCCCTCTGTAGACCAGGCTAGATGGTGTTTTATCTTTTGAAGTAGGTGTGTGTGTGTGTGTGTGTGTGTGTGTGTGTGTGTGTG